GTGCGTCACCTCTTCCTGCCCCTCCCCTCTGTCTGCCCCGCCCACACTCTAACCTGGCCATTGATTGGTTAAGGAATGGGATGTGTTGTTGGGGAATTTGAAGATCCATCTGGCTGTACCATCAATGCTGCTGTCTGAATCTGCAGAGAGCAGCCTGCAGTGAATGATCTGCACTAACAGAGCTTATATCCCTCCCTTCTCTCCCCATTTATCTCCCTCCCCCTGTTTTTCCATGAGCTACACACACTTAACAATTGCATATCCAGTTAGTAACTTAACTGTGGTGTAAGGGCACACTCCACCAGGGTCTGATGTAGGTGCGCATTCTGCCAGGGTCTGATGTAGGGGCGCACTCCGCCAGGGTCTGATGTAGGGGCGCACTCCGATGTATAGAGGTAATGCTGGGGACTTTGATGCGAGGGAGGACTCTGATGTGAACATGGTCCTTATCCTGACTCCTGCACTCCATATGTTTTGTTTTTTTTACTTACTCCTGACCCCTGTACGCCATACATTATACTGTAAATAGACCGGACGAAGATGTTCATTGTCCCAATAGTTGCTGGTACTAATGAAATTCTTCATTAAGGTAGGTTTCAGTAAGGCAAGTCCATACATTAGTCATTTTTTTCATTCAACCAGTGGGTTGAACAAAAAAATATAGCGAGAATGGAGCACCTAACCTCTGCAATCCGGGAAAAATCAGAGGCACATTGGACCAGGTGGTAAGCAGCGCAATGTAAAAATATTAAATGTTTAGGTTACCATAAAGCCCCTTTCACTTTTAAAAGCCCCAGACGTTCCTAAAAGCACCTCTGCCTAATAACAAAACATCAACCCTTTGTATTTTCCATCCTGGCAAAGCCATTTCAAGATTTAAAGGGATATACATCCACTGAAAATCCCTAGTGATAAAACTGCGCCATTCAGTAGTATTATAACAATCAAGACCTTCTTTAAATAGGATTTTGGTTAAAAAAAAATTCATCAGGACAAGTAGATTGGGACCCCAATTTAGTCCTTGGACAAGTAGTTTTAAAAGGCACAGAGTAATGCAGCTCATTGTTCATTAATACATCCTTTTTGTGTTGCATTTTTTTCAGTTCAACAATTGCTTCTACCAACAAATAAGAGGCACAAGCATGGGAGCTCCATGGCCCCCAGCATATGCCTGCCTGCATCTTGGGTATTGGGAAGAGCAGCTTGTTTATTGATTATCGCTATTTCAAACCTATGCACAGACATGGTTGAGATATATCGATGACGTTTTCCTTGTCTGGAGAGGAAGTGTTGAATTTGAATCTATTCATAGATGAATTGAATCATAATGTAATAAATATCAAACTTACTTATATCTATGATAGGTCTCAAATATCATTCCTGGATCTTAATATTAGACATGAGTAGGGTAAATTGCTTACGAATACCTTTCAGAAACCTACTGCAGCCAATACATTATTAGAGGCGGGAAGTCATCATCCACGGTCCCCTACTTAATGGTATTCCAATTGTACAATTTCTGCGGTGTCGCAGAAATTGTTAAGTTATTAATGATTTCAAGCTGGAGGCACGAGATCTTTATAAGAGATTTAGAGAATGAGGATATTCACACTCTCAATTTAGGAAGGCAAGGAGAAGAGCTTATGGAACTGATAGGAAAATGCTGTTGGCCCCAAAGGAGGACTGTGAGGTAAATACCCAGTCATAATTCTCAACCAGTTAGGATGATAACTCAGTATGGAGCGCAGTGGAAGGAAGTTAAACAGGTGCTAGAAAAACACTGGAAGATACTTGTGCAATGTCCTAAACTTAGTAAAATTGTGGGGGATCACCCTCAAATGGTGGACAGGAGAGCACCAAATCTGGGCGATCTCCTAATCCATTCTGATTATAACGCTATGGGGCAACTCATTTGACCAACTTCCCATACAAGAGGAATGTTTAGCTGTGGTAAATGCCAAATTTGTAGATCGTACTGACAGGTTCTCTGATTCAGAAAATAAGGTTCAATATAGAATTCAGAGCCTTAATAATTGTACTACGTCTAGAGTGCTTTACATGTGACATGTCCATGTAATAAGATTTACGTGGGGAAAACTAAGAGGCAACTTAAAATACGTATAAGTGAACATTTTAGAGATATTAAATCTAAAGAACCGGACAGTAACCTGGCCCAACACTTTATAAAATTCCATGGTAGTAAGTTGGAAGGTATTAAAGTCAAAGGATTTTATGCCCTTAATTTTCCATTGAGAAGAGGAGACTTTTGATGGGGAATTGTTAAAACGTGAACAACATTGAATTTATAAGTTTGAATACTTTGCACCCTAAAGGGTTAAATGTTGAATTAGATCTCCAAGTCTTTCTGCATAACTAAAATCCTGGTAAATCTGATCGGTCTTTGACATCTTTCTCCATTGGCTGCATTTGAAAAATGTTCGTAATTACCATCCCCTGTGCTTGTCTGTTTACCGTAGAAGTATTGATTCGTTTATCCTTGTGGTTGCTTTGACGTGTATTGATTGTTTGTAATTTGATTTGCTAATGGGGAATATGGCTGCTCATGATCATATATATGCGGAATTTAACCTGATATAAATGATTCTGCTAGCCAGTCTCCCACTGGTTCTGACAAAGCTGAGTAAGATACGCCCATCAGCGAAATCCGTTGACGTCACGTGTCAATGATGTCAAGGCTGGCTGCGCACATCGGCTACACGCACCCCTGCGTGCGGGCACGGAGCACCACGCTATCTTTTGGCACTCACCAATCACCATGTGTACTCTCCAGGAAGCAGGGCCTGGTTACCTGAGGTTCTGATATGGCGGTTGCCTCGGGGACCCAGAGCACGGAACCGAGCAACTAAGGGAAGGTCATACTATCTCATAACATCTGACGGAGTAGGTGGTGAGTGACACTTTTACCCACACCTGGCGGATAACTGGACATACATGCAGGCAGGGCCCTGCCATCAGTAGTCCTTATGGCGGCTGCCTCACGGACTTCCCATTTGTCGCTATGCATCACGGGACAGTGACTTTATTTCACATCTAGTTGGCAGCGAACTGCAACTTTTCCCACATTCTGCTGACATTATGTTCATCTTTAAGGAACTATATGTAATATTCATTGCCCTGTGTGGGTTTTGTAGTCACCACCACACATTACATTTGGAGGCTGTTTCTTTTGGTCTTAGGGAATTGATCTACATGTCATGTATCATCTGGAGTGCATCAAGTGCCCTATTCATCGTTACTTGACACAGGCATTTTTATGTGGAATGTATCCAGCTATATGGTTATCATGTTTAATTCCTTATTGTATATCTTCCCTGGTTGGGCCTCTATTTCCATGCCAATAGAGGTTACACCCTTTAGGGCTCATGTACACTGCTGCTCCTAAATTGATGTTCAGGAGCTGTTCAGCGGTTTTTTTTTTTCAGCAGCCCCTGAATTCTCCCTACTGTTTTCCTATGTGTCCATGTACACATAGCCATTTACAGTCGTTTTTTTGAACGCACAAAACTTGCATTCAGGAGTAGATTTTACCAGCGTTTCAAACACTTGTAAACGTGATTAACCGCGTTTATAAGCGTTTGCGTTTTAGAAGTGTTTTTTAACTGTTCCATGTCCACATGCTGTCCAGAGCCTTTTTTCATTATCAGAAATGCACGCAAAGCGTTTTCCATGTGTTCAAATGGACCCGGTACACCAGCGCAGTCAGTTCCAGGTTACTCGTGAAGGAAAAAAAAATGGTAGAACGTGCTGCTTTATGCTCATGATGGGATCTATAGTGAATACAACAAGAAAAGACAGATCATCTCAACACATACTGCTCTCTCTGCTTCTCTCTCTATTCCTCTCAAAACGTCTGAAATAGTTAATTTTTTACTATTTTTCAGTGCATTCTGGGCATTTGGGGAGGTTTCCTGAGGTTATCTTTTAAAAACGCTTCAAACGCATAGAAACGTGTTATTCCAACGCTTCTAAACTGACATTTTTTAACCTACGTTTTCCAGCAGTCAGTTTTCATCGTTCAGAAGAGTTTTTTCCAAACGCCCCCGTGTACATGAGCCCTTATCTTGATGATTGGTCTATAGCAATATTGCATTTTCTCCATGATATATATGTATCCCCACCATGGTGTCTTTGCTGTAAGAGCAAAAGACCTTTGAGTCGTCTCTGCAGCACAATACAGTTATGGCCTAGCTATGATGTCTCTCTTTTTTTTTTTTTTTTATTTTTTGTTTTAAGGTTGGTTTTTGTGTTGTCTTATATTGAGGTGATGGCTACTAGCAGTCTTTACTCAAATGTCTTACATTGCAAATTTTTAATAATAAAGCATATTTTGATAATCAATTTGCGTATCTCATTGTCCTTCATGTAACTGCTCTTTCTTGTCAATTCTCTGTACACATTATTTTTTCTGTAGGCTTTTTTTGGTTATTGGGCAAAACATTGTGTACTTTAAGCGATACCTATCACTTGTAAGCCTCCATTTATACAGTTATTTAGGGGGTTTTAATCAGTTTCAGCTGCTTTGGTGTTAATGAAATTAACAAGTGCACTATATGGGCAACAATGAGACAACCCCCAAAACAGGAATGGTTTTTACAGGTGGAGGCCACTGACATTTTTTTCTCTACTCATCTTTTCTGTTTTTCACTAGTTTTACATTTGGCTAGGGACAGTGTCACTGCTGGTAGCATGAAGCGATACCTGGACCCTACAGAGGTTGCACAGGCAGTCCAAGTCCCAGCTCCACAACAAGTATAGATATCCAGCATGACATTTTTCCCCGTTTAGATCTGATGTGTTTTCAAAGTGTTCCTTTAATTTTTGTTGAGCTGTGTATTTTCAAATCTGCTAAAAAAAAAAAAAAAAAAAAAGCTCAGATGCCTGATAAAAAACGCCTGAAAAATGCTCAGCTCATTGTGAATGGAGCCTTAGAGATCTTTAATCTCCATTACCATATTTTATTCTATTTGTTTATTTTGCAGCCCAAGTGGATCCCATCTGTCATGTTTGGACCAGGTCAAAGCATATCTTCTCACAGATGGAACCTGCAAGTGTGGCCTAGAGTGCCCTCTTATTCTGCCGAAGGTACATTTCCAATCTGGTTTAAATGTTACTTTTTTAAGAGCGTCAGTAAAATTGGGATATTGTGTGTGTGTGTGTGTGGGGGGGGGGGGTGATTGGGAGGGTGGAAGGGATAACACTCTGTCCTTAATGTAGACCAATCTAATTTTTTTTTTTCTCTTTATATTTTTCTCTTTGTGAAAGTAAGGGTGGGCATTCACAATATTGGCACAGTATCTAGTATTGGCAAACAATGCCATAGATTGTAGAGTTGCTTTCACAACTAGGGTGTAAAAATTGACATCAGAACGATAATGTACATTCCTGAATGTCAAAGATACTCAGAGATTTATTGACATGTCTGTAAAACTGGTCGTGCCATGAAGGAAATTAAGCAAAACTTTCACCATACAAGCCCTGTATGGTACCATCTTGCCAGTCCCAGAGATGAAGGCTGGCATGCTCCTTACCTCCCATTTTTGCTCAGTAAAATGTCTGCCAGTATATGGCCACCCCTCTAAAGACTTGCAATTGTTAGTCTCTGTCACTGCACAACATGCCATCTGACTGATCTTGTTTTAGTAAATGGGTTAAAAGTAGAGAATATACCCCTGTGATGAATGTTACTGATGTTAATATTCATTGACATTTTGGTGACAACTGGACACACAAAATGTAAAGAATACAGATAGGTACGTAGCAACCAGTAGGGTTTCCCAGAGGCAAATGTATAAACTGCATTTCCTACTGACAGCCAGAAGTGACAAAAGATGCACTTGCCTAATATTCTTGCTGTATTGGAGAATCATTTCACATCTTTCACATCTTCTTTAAAGGGGGATCTAAAATAATGGGGATATTCTAGCCACATGCTTTAGGACTCTACATTTCAGAGTTTGCTGAAAAAAAGGTAAATCCATTGTGAGAGCCCTTGGCTAAAGTAGAACATTGCAGACACACTAATGTACCTGTCTGTTACAGAGTCTAGTGTACCAGTGCATGTTGACTTCTGCATCCTACTTAAGTGTGATTGAGCTGAAGAGCACTCAGATGGTCCAGGGTGCAGTGTGAGAGGCTAATAAATAACTGAATGTGCATGCCCACCCTTATGTAATCCAATGTATGACCATTGTAGGTGTTTAATTTTGACCCTGGAGCTGCTGTGAAACAAAGAACCGCAGAGGATGTTAAGGCAGATGAGGATGTGACCAAGCTTTGCATCCACAAACGTAAGATAATTGCTGTGGCCACATTGCACAAGAGCATGGAGACGCCGCACCCCTCGCTGGTGTTGACAAGTCCTGGGGGCGGGACAAGTAAGTTTATACCTAGAAATTATAGCTGAATAGATATACTATCTCATGTCATCAGAATTTGTTTTATTAGAACCTCTGTCAATGAGATTTGGGTTTGTGTCTATTGATAAATGCAGCTTGTTTTCAGGTTCAATATATAACCCAATTGTTTGTAAAATATGAAAGATGTTACGCCGATTAAATGGATACCTAACATGTCGTGCTTCTAAAAGTGCACACTCTCGTGGAATGGCGCCAAACTACGGTACATAAAAAACTTCCATAGTAGATGCTTTAAAACATTTTACAGGTTACCATTTTAGAGGAGGTCTAGTGCTAGAATTATTGCTCTCGCTCTGACGTTCGCACCACAGATGTGAGGTATCGCAGCGAACAGAGTTTACATATGTGGGTATGACCTATGTATGCATTCGCCACTGCGCACAAGAACATGGGGATGAGGACGCTGTAAAAAATTTTGTTTTTACACTGTCCCTTTTAAAAACATTTTTTATCACTTTTTTTTTTTTTTTTGCTATTTCAAGAAATAAAAAAAAATCCCTTGCGATAATAAAGCATGACAGGTCCTCTTTATGGAGAGATCCGGGGTCTATAAGACTCCACTTCTCTCTACAATGGTAAGCAGCAGACCAAAAGTTTCTCCGGTCTTTCTAGACCATAGAGATCAGCAGAAGCCAACTTTCCTCAGCTAATCAGCCACTTGGACCACTTTTAACAGTTAGAGAAAAAACCAATACTGAGGTTATGACATCTTGCTGCAGCCATAACCCCGGTATACCACTTGAAAACCATGACGCATTTTCCCAGTTAGGCTGTCTTCAAGTGGTATTTATAGGTGCCTCTGATTTGTGGTTTACCCCCCTTTTTAGTCTACATCAACCTACTTTTGTGTTATTATTGACTTGTATGAGGAGAGCAACCTTTTTAATACAAACAAAAGCAAAAGTCTTTGTTGCTACACCTTCATTTCAGCAATTATGCTAATGCTGGTGTCATTAGGTTCTCATAGCTCTACTGTAGTGCAAATTCCAACACATTGCAGTCCCTGATAGCAGTGTGCATGCCTTTAACAGGTCATTCTTGAACAAGTTCTCTGCTTTCCCTTTAGTCTTATCCAGCTACCCAGAGGGTCTCCCATAGTTTTGTTTTTCTTCTGCATGGTACTATACTGGCAAGTTGAGCTTGGCATTTCATGAGACTGCCTCCCCCTGCTTTCTGAGAACATGAACACTGCTAAACCATAAAAACACATTACTTTTATAGTATGAGATGTCACTGACTAGTAATCAGTTCCTGGGAGTGACTTTTATATCTGTAGAAAACCTTGTGCTGCTATGACTACAGATTATGTGAACTGGAAAGAGCTGGTTAGATTGAAAGCTGCAGATGAAAACAAAAAGTTGGTAATTTCTCCAACTCTTCAAGCCACCCTCCTGGTCCAACATTGTGCTGAGCTCTTAGTGACCATCAGGAAAGTTAGGCAATGGCAGGGCTTAGTGTCGACTTTATACATAAAATTGTTTGCACTTTTATTTCTACCAAAAACAGTCAAATGTAAACATGTATGTGGCGTGCTGCACCCCAATCAGGATGTAATCTAGTAATCTGAAGGCTGCTTTCTAAAAACCTGTGGACCCAAAATTTCCTTGGAAAGCCAGTGGTATCACAGTTGAAAAGCGAGAGTACCACAATATTTATTTCTGTGACCTTATCGAAACTAATAGTGTGTTACTTGGATAGACCCTAAATCTGCGGGGCGCTCTTCTTTCAATTGTACAGTTACGCTCAAAAGTTTTCATAACCTTGGAGAATTGTATACAGTATGTACCATCTTTAAAGAAAACATAAGTAAGCAGGCAAAACCTATTTATTTTATTCCTTATGAGATTTTATTCAACTGTATGTCATAACAGAATGGTACAATAATAAAACAAAACACAACTTCAAGTAAACAACTGAAATGACCCCTGTTCAAAAGTCTGCATTCCCTTAGTTCTTAATACTGTGTATTGCCCCCTTTAGCATCAATGACAGTGTGCAGTCTTTTGTAATGGTCTATGAGAGCCCGAATTCTTGAAGGTGGCATAACTGCCTATTTGTCTTGGCAACATGCAACCAGGTCATGCAAAAATTCTAAGTTTGCCTTGCATGAACCGCACGTTTGAGATCTTCCCAGATTGGCTCGATGATATTAAGGTTAGTAGACTGTGATGGCAACTCCATAACCTCCACCTTTCTGCTGTAACCAATGGAGGGTCAACTTGGCTTTGTGCTTAGGGTCATTGTCGTGATGGGTAGTCCAAGTGTGTCCCATGCACCGTTTTCATGCAGAAGAATGCAAATTGTCTGCCAGTATTTTCTTATAACATGCTGCATTCACCTTGCCATCAATTTTCACTTGAATCCCCCTGCCTCTTTGGAGCTCACACACCCTCAAAGCATTAGTGAGCCACCCCCATGCTTCACAGTGGGGATATGGTATTCTTGTCACTAAAGGCCTTGAACCCTCTCCAAAAATAGTGCTTATGGTTGTGACCATATAGCTCTATTGTGGTTTTGTCACTCCAGATTACAGTGTGCCAGGAGCTGTGAGGTGTGTCATGGTGTTATCAGGCATATTGTAACCAGGCTTTTTTGTGCCATTGGCGCAATAAAGTCTGTTTTCTGGCAACTGAACCATGCAGCTCATTTTTGTTCAAGTATCGTTGTATTGTGCTCCTTCAAACAATCAAACTGTCTTTTTCCAGAGATTACCTGTGGGTTTTTCCTTGTATCCTGAACAATTATTCTGGCATTGTGGCTGCAATTTTTCTTGGTCTACCTGACCTTGGCTTTCAACTAGGGATGTACCGATATCAGTGCCACTACCGAGTATTTTCAGGAGTACTCGTGAAAATGCTCACGATTTGCGTCAACAAAAAATGCAAATTGCACTGCTAAGAATAGCATGCGATTTGAACAAGAATGTTATTCCTGTTCAAGTCGAATGCGGTTTCCCCACTGCTTCTGTGTGAACCCAGGCTTGTTGAAGCCTGAGTTCACACATGAGCGGCGCGGGAAACCTCCCTGAACCAATCCCATGCTGAGCGGCGAGTGGGGGAGAAGGGCGTGTGGCGATTTATACATTTCAAATCCCCGCAGCTTTCTCTCCTCTCTTACAGCTGAGAATCCAGAGTATCTTCCTCCATCTGCCACCAAGGTATACATCCCCACACGCCCTTCTCTCCCACTCTATACTCAGCATTGGACCGGGAAGTTTCCCGCACCACTCCTGTGTGAGCTCAGGCTATGACAAGCCTGGGTTCACACAAGAGTAGGGGAAACCACATGTGATTTGGACAGGAATCGCATTCCTGTTTAAATCGCATGCTATTCTTTGCAGTGCAATTTGCGGCTATAAATTTTGTGTTGCCGCAAATTGCACCGCACAGTCTCTGTACTATGTATCGGCAAGTACTTAACTGAAAGTATCAGTACTCGTACTGATCTCTGAATTCCCCACTTCTTAATAGGTGATTGAACAGTACTAACTGGCATATTCAAGGCTTTGGATTTTTTTTATATCTTTTTCCATCTTTATAAAGTTTCATTGCCTTTTTATGCAGTTCTTTTCTGCTCCCCATGGCTCAGTATCTAGCCTACCCAGTGTGTCCATGTGCGAGTTGACAAACTAAATGACTATTTTTATAAAAAAGACTCCAATTGCAATTAAAAAAGCAAGGATGTGGGAAATTAACCTTTAATTAACCTCTGTGTGTCACCTTGTGTGTCTGTACCAAAGCCAAACATTCCAGAGTATGTAAACTTTTGATCATGGCAATATGGATGAATGCTGTTATTATGATTTAAGAGGAGCCAAACAACTATGTGATAATAAATGGCTTCACTATCCTTCAATAAAAGACAGTTTATTGGCATGATCCATTATATTTTCAATATCGATGCCAAAATTTCACGATTTCTGTCAGGGTATGTAAACTTTTGAGTACAACTGTATATACCATTGCCACCACCAATAGAAAGCAGAAATGCAACTGTTATTCCTCTGTGTTGTCCTTTAATGTTTTCTGTGAGCATACATTTGCTTTAAAGTTGGATTCCAACTTGAAAAATGTTTTAAATAATACAAATGTGCTTAACTACCACATGAACGTAAGCAAATAAAACTTATTTGTCGGATAAATTACCCCCTATGTGTCAGAGCCCCTCTAATGTAATAAGTTACCCACCAAAACAATCAAACTAATATATGCTTCTAGGTAAGACAGTCAGCAGTGATAAAACAAGGTTTTTAAGATCAAGAGTTTACCAACGATCATTAGAACTGAAAAAGCCACTTGGATGAGTGGTGAAACTTTTTCAACATTACAGAAAATGTGAGGTTAAATGCAATGAACTAATAGCTAAGTGCAGGGAAGGCCCACCAATACAAGATCAATATAAACATTGGAGTGAATATCAGTCCTAAGTAGGACATATACTTTGAGGAATTATGAGAAGAGATTGGATGAAACTTCAGGTAAGGAGTTGGGGTGGTCATCAATTAGTTAACACCAATGCCACCACTGGTAACATCTGCCCCTTTTAAAGTTTCTCTCTAAATTTCGCCCACCAGCTTCTTGCATTTTCAATGTCTGCCTGAATCTGACTTGCACTGCTTTGATGGGAAAGGCTCCAACATCAACTGCCATAGCAACAAAAGGGGGTTAATTAACCAATAACGTTGACCCTGAACACTCTTCCTTGTAGCCTTCAACATGATTTCACACACCAGTTCCCTACTTCTTTCCCTCAAAAACCTAGTTGCTTGGAGTCCCGTTTAAAGAAAATGCATGCTTTTTAAAAATTTTATAAAGTTTGTAACTTTACTACAGAAGCCATTTTGTAATGTTTTTTGAAATTACTTTTTGCCAAGCTGGTACAGTGCTTGATGATGCCTTTCGTTTTTGTTGTTACACAGTATAAATGTTATAGTATGTTTATATAGCATGCTAATATAAAATGTTTGTCATCTTTCCAGATTCTGCTCCTGTGGTCTCTACACGGGCATCGACTCCACGTTCCATGAGGAATAAGTCACATGATGGAACTGTTAATTCTGTTCTGCCAGAATGTAAAAACCCATTCAAGCTGATGGTGAAAGAACATATGGGAACTCAGCAGCATGACCTCCATTCTGCATATTCACGGCAGAGATTAGGAAGCAGCGAACACGGACACAAATCACCATATCGTGGGAGTCATGGTGGCCTGCCAAGTCCAGCTTCATCTGGGTCCCAGATCTTTGGTGAAGGCCCTGTCTCTCCAAGGACAGACCCCTTGGGGAGTCCTGATACATTCACAAGGAGCAATCCCAGTTATCATGCACCACCCAGTTCCAGTCCCATTCATGTAAACAGGACTCCTGTGTCTCCCCAGTCTATTATGTTGCATGGTTCCCCTTTGCAGCCATCTTGTGCTATGGCTGTAAGGACAAACATACCTCTTTCCCCCACTTTTACAAGCCCAGTCTCGAAAAAAACTGTGTGCAGTTATCCACCAAACATGGATATGTCGCGTGCAATGTTTCACCATAAACCAACACCAGGTCCTCCACCCCCCTTGCCCCCACCACCTCCCCCTCCACCCCCACCACCGCTTTGTGCTCTTCAGAAAAAGCCATTGACATCTTCAGAGAAAGATCCACTTGGTATTCTAGATCCCATTCCAAGTAAACCAGTTCTCCAAAATCCTGTATTGAACACTTCCACATTTCATCCAAATGTTCACTCTCAGGTACCTGTGATGAATGTAAAACATGCCGCCTGCTGTTGTTCCTTTGCCAAGTAATCTCCCTTTGCCAACTGTCAAACCCGGTCACATGAATCACGGTAATCATGTTCAAAGAATCCAACATCCAGCCTCATCGTCTTTGTCTCCTTCCCCAGTAACCTCCCCAGTTCACACAATGGCACCTGGTATTGGGAGGATAGAGGCCTCACCCCAAAGATCACGCTCCTCTTCCACATCATCTGATCATGGAAACTTCATGATGCCTCCAATGGGAACACAACCTTCCTGCGTTGGCCTCAAAGTTCCACCCCGTTCTCCACGGCCCAACATGGGCTCTCCAAGACCCTCCATGCCATCCAGTCCTTTAGCTAAACCTGACGGCCATCATCAGTACAAGGACATTCATAACCCAATAATTGGTGGCATGGGCAACATGTTGAACCCCCCAAACAATGCCGTATTCCCCTCATCATCGGCTGGTAATGCTCCTAGTAAGGGTCAGGCAGGTTTGCTGGGAATGCCTTTAAATCAGATTTTGAACCAGCATAATGCTGCCTCTTTCCCTGCGAGCAGTTTACTTTCAGCAGCAGCCAAAGCACAGCTAGCAAATCAAAATAAACTTGCTGGTAATAAGAGCAGTTCCGGACCTGCAGTCAGCTGTGGCAGCAGTGACGGGAATAGCACTTTACCCACCATGTTTCCTCCGGCCTCCAGCGCGCTTTTACCACAAGCCGAGGGACAGAGTGGTCGGGCAGCTCTGAGAGATAAGTTAATGTCTCAGCAGAAGGACTTGAGAAAGAGAAAACAGCCTGGGTCAACGGTGATGAATCTGCTCAAGCCACCACCAGTCGATAATTCCAGCCTACAAAAACATGGAGCAGAGTTGATGAGGAAACAAGGGCAAAACTCATTTCCAATCAACTCAATGTCACAGCTCCTCCAAACCATGAGTTGTCAAAACTCCCACATGAACAGCAATAGCAACACCGCTCCTGACTCAAACTTGAGTCTGCCTTGCTCTGCCAACCAGATAAACTATACCGACCGACAACAGCCTGAACGCCGTCAATCTCCATAATTCACTGGCACATAACTTACCGATGAGAGGGGATGGCGTTTCCTGCCAAAATCCAAACACTAGTTTTGTTCATGGTGGCAATCCAGTCCCTAACTCCCATCTCACCGGGTTCATAAACCAGATGCAAAATAGCAATTATGGGATGCTGAACCATCCAGGAAATTCTTTACACCTCAACCCTCCCCAGCCGAGGATACAGTCATCTTCCTCGATACCAATAATACCCAACAGCATTGGTAACAGTACTGATTCAGGTATGCTCTTCACCTGACTGTGTTATGAGGTATATGGATGGGTGTCTGTAATTATGCAAACATCAGACTTTTCTGTTTTAATTTATATGTATGTATGTGTGTGTGTGTGTGTGTGTATATATATATATATGTGTGTGTGTATGTATGTATGTGTATATGTGTGTGTGTATGTGTGTGTATATATATATATTGCGTGTGTAAATATTTATTAGTATTTTATTTATTTTTTTAGTATTGCGGTATAAATAAAAAAAAAACAAAACTGGTTAATGCTCACTTGTTTGGGAAAAGAAAAAAAGTGTGAATCTGTCATTTTCATGTTATTTGGTGGAAGGCATGACATGAGAAGTTAGGATTGAACTAGTCTCAGAAGCCAGACAGGCAATTTGCGTTTGAAAAAAAACACATTCCTCGTTTAATTTTTGTTTTTCTTTTATTAAAGGTAATCTTTCCTTTTTTTTATCTACAAGATCAGTACTAAAAATAAAAATTCAGGTAAATGTTCATATTTAGGAGTTAATCAGCGGGTGGGGCTGTCATCTTTCCAGAGTTCCATTCTCTGTAAAGTTTTAGACAACAGATATTGTACATAAAAAATCTCCACCCTCCCAAAGCAACATGGTATAGCTCAAATGCAACCAAAGCATTTTGTTTATTTGTCGGATAAAGTGAAGAAAGGTTTGAACCTCTCAGGTTTTTATTGCATTTCGGTTATCTTCTATGGGGAAATTTCGTTTCACTTCATGTTTAGATTTACACACCTGGACCGGAAATTGGGTGGATTTGTTGGAAGTGAGAGCCCACTGGACAAACATATTAGTTTCTTATGTTCTCCCTTGAATTTTTTTTTTTTTTGGCTGGGATAAAGCAAAAAAAAAAAAAACATTATTCTAAATATATATCAATGAAGAGCAAAAGAATAAAATATACATCACTAAAAGTCAGCTTGTCTAATAAAAAGAAAAACATAGACTGAAGTCATACTGGTCCAGACATAGTGTGCATGTTACGGGAAGCAAGTGAAGACCATGGATACACTATTGGAACCGTAAAACTGAAGATATTCAGTGGAAGGTGATCAGAGACTTTAGTTATGTTACAGGAAACTGCAAGAGATCAGTCATTTTTACAAGTTATTATTCCTACATTTCTTGTAATCTTCCACAACTATCCTGCTTTTTACCTCCCTGCATTACACGCAGCACCACTGCACCCTCCTACAACAACAGTTTCTGTGCAATTGGGAATAAGAACAGTAAGCTGACTGTTCAGGCCAAATTGCTGGGTAGTCCTAAGGAAGGGTCGGTAGAGCAACAGATGTTCACATAACAGCAGCCTGTATGTGACCTGCTTATTGTATTGACCAGCAGAGCAAAGTAGCCAGAGCACCTAGCAAAACTTTCATTCCCCCCCCCATTCCTGCAAGGGCAACTATTTGTTAACAAAATGGCAACAGCTCCACTTTTGTTGAGAAAAAAAAAAAACATTCCCCTCTGGGTGATCTATGTACATTGCAAGGATTTTAACTAACTTTGTTGCAGATTTCTACCTTTTGTTATTCTGAAGAAATAACTGTTCATTTGTCTGTGTTCATGTGCAGAGTGAATCTGTATGGGAGTGGTTTTATAATTATCAGCTGCTGCACCTGTAGGGCTCTCATAAGGAAAGTGCAGGGTCTGCATCCCTTTTAGGTGTGATTCCCTTTTGGAGTATCTCCTGAAAAATGAAATTTTTATTGCATGGGATGTAAAAAATCTGAATTGTATCTTAATTCAGACTTCTGTGAAAATCAGTAAGCCGATCGCTTAAGCAGGAAATTACATTTTCAGGGGGCGTTCTGCACACCATCTGTGTACAGAATGCTTCCAGGTTGCCATATTGCATTGCATTGCATTTTACAGAAAATTACAGCTCTGCAGATTGAAAAGGAAAGGTCATTTTTAATATTCAATTACAATATGACTTGTGTCACAATTGTATACGTTATGTTAAATTTTTTGTTTGCTAATTTTTTTCCCAGAAAAGGGAAGTTACCCTTTTAAAGTATATGTAAACCTTAAATTGTATTGTATTTCCACTTTTGCAGCCAAATTAGAATGACACCTAGTTAGTATTTTGTTACCTGTTCCTATTCACATAACATAGGTTAAAAAAAAATACTGCTTACCTTTTTAACCGCTCTTTCTGAACACTCCAGGACTGAAGAATTTTACTTAGCTTTCCTTTCTCTGTAATTTTTCTAAGGGGTTTGGGAGTTAACGTTTACAATAATTTACCTTATCTGTACTGTGCTGGTAGGTCTCGGCATCGGTTGCAAATGTTGCATTACTCCCGTAGGAGTTGCAAAGGATTTGGGTCGCCCTATAGTCCTGCACAGCCAGGCAACACTCAAGTTTATTTTCTGGAGAGCTGGCCAGCATCTCTTATAGTACCTCCCCAGACCCTAGATGGCTCCTCACTTCATCCAACTGTACTGGGTGAATCCCTGGGCAAGGGGATCCAGTGCCTGCCAATGCAGTGTGAAACAGTCCCCGGGTAAGATGGCAAATCCAGTTTCTCCTTACTGGGCCAGGGGTGCAGGTTTACTCACTTGGTCCCTCTCTCGTGTACTCCTGGGTCGATGGCTGCTACCAGGCTTTCTAGCTGGGCCGGTCCTTCCCTGTCATACAGGTGGTCCTCTATCAGGGGACCAATGAAGTCCCACGTTTTCAACTTTCCCAAGTCCTCTGCCTGCAGGTGAGTCCATCTCCATCTGGGTACCCTCACAGGCTGCAGCCTCTCCCCCCCCCCCTCTCCCCCCTCTCTCTCTCTCTCCCTCTCTCCCCCCCTCTCTCCCCTCTTTCCCCTCCCCCCTCTCTCCCCTCTTTCCCTCCCCTCTCCCCCTTTCCCTCCCCTCTCTCTCCCCTCTTTCCCTCCCCTCTCTCTCCCCTCTTTCTCTCCCCTCTCTCTCCCCTCTTTCCCTCCCCTCTCTCTCCCCTCTTTCCCTCCCCTCTTTCGTGCTCCCTCCCCCCCCCTCTCGCTCTCTCCCCCCCCTCTCTCGCTCTTTTCCCTTTCCGCTTTCTTCTCCCTCCCCTCTCTCGCTCTCTTCCCCTCTCTCGCTCTCTTCCCCTCTCTCTCTCCCTCCCCCCCCT